CTTCCACTCATGCTGCTGATCACATGTATGGTATATATGTGCACACCGGAGGGAAACCAGGAGGATTACACAGAACTAGAGGGAATCAGGGAAAACCATACAACAGTGGGACCCATCAGCTGCACAGGACATTGACCAAAATGAACTAAGCAACTAATGGCAGTGATGGGAGGGAGGGAACAAGTGGGAAAGAGGGAACAGCTAATGCTATGCAAAACAAAAGAAATTTACATATCACCCGGTGTAGAAGAAATAACTGTATTGTCAAAGCTCATGGAACTCATCAATGTTATAGACCACGATAGACCATTTGCCTCATGAAAGTTAGAATATGTTTGCGACTTTAATCATCACTATCCCACAATACTGTTAGATTTGGGAAATTATGTAACCACTTAATCACAATAAAGAATTTGAAAAAAATAAATAAATAAAGATGTAGCCAGGCACCGGCGGCTCATACCTATCAGGAAGTATGAGATCCAAGGAGATCTCAGGAGGCTGAGATCCAAGGCCTGCACTTTGAAGGCAGCTTGAGCCAACAAATCTGAGCAACACTTATCTCTAACCAGCAAAAAGCTGGAACTGGAAGAGTGGTTCAAGTGGTAGAGTGCCAACCTTGAGCAAAAAGGCCAAGAGACAGCGTGAGACCCTGACTTCAAGGCTCGGTACTAGCCAAGACACAGTAACTTCAGTAACTGGAACCCTGGATTGCACCCAGAGCAGAGAAGAGAAAGAGAAAATGCAAATCAGGTCTGAAACCTAGCAGGTGGGGAGGCGCCAGGACTCAGCTGGGGCCAGGGTGCGGGCGGGCGGCAGGCAAATGAGGCCCACACAGGGGAAGGGGCTGGCTGCTGGCTGCTTCATCCCCAGGAAACAAAACCAGCGTGTGGGGTGGGGGGCGGCACCCCTCTAGGAGCACAGAGCCGAGGGGTGAGGGGCACGGCCGCAGGCCCTGGCGAGCAGTCGATGTGCTGAGCTTTATCCTTCCAGTCAACCCTGCCAGGGCATGGCTTCCTCAGGCCCAGCCGTACACAGCGGCGGCCGCCCCAGGACTGCACCTGCTCCCCATTCCAGCAGGGGTGCTTCTCCCCCATAGCACAGGCAAAACCCTCCTCGACTCAGAACCAGCCCCCATCACTCCGCATGAGGAATCCCACGCCACCTGAGGACAGCGGCCATCGCGGCACCTCTCCAGTGTGGGAACGCGGCTCGAGCACGTGACCCCTGCGAACCCCTACATCCATTGCTCCCATTTTACAAATAAGCCAAGTGAGGCAAACAAGCTCACCGGGCCTGGTGTGAGCCTTCATCTCCTCCTCCAGGAGTCCCGTTTCACAGACAGAAACACCAAGGCCTGCCGGGGACCGGTGGCTCACGCCTGTCATCCTAGATGCTCAGGAGGCTGAGATCTGAGGATCACAATCCAAAGCCAGCCCAGGCAGGAAACTCCCTGAGACTCTTATCTCCTAGAAAACCAGAAGTGGCGCTGTGGCTCAAGTGGTAGAGCGCTCGCCTTGAGCTGAATGACAAGGGCAGGGACAGCGCCCAGGCCCAGAGTTCAAGCCAGAAAGAAGAAAAGAATGAAAGAAAGAAAGAGAGAAAGAGAGAGAGAGAGAGGAAAGAAGGAAAGAAAGGCAGAAAGACAGACAGACCAAGACAGACAGACAGACACCACAAAACCCATGGCCACCCAGGCCGAATGCCTGCACCCGTGCAGTCACATCCCCCCAAACCACACAACCCACACGTGAGCTCCGCCCTCCAGCATCCACTAGATTCGTGGGTCTGTCTGACTCCACCCAGGAGCCAGGAGCCCGGCTTCTGTTTGCTCAGCTCCACAGCAGAGGTCTGCTGGGTCAGCCCGCTGGCCTTGCACTTCTGTTCTGAGGGACCCTCTGTTCTTCCATATACATTGTGGATGAAGCCTATCAGGTTCCCCGAAAGGCATACCCGCCTTCCGTTCACATCTAATGGGAGCTGGGAAGATTGGTTCTGGCATCTGCAGCATTTCCCCTCCAGAAAGCTCACGCCCTTCTTCAAGTGATTTCTCTCGGGATACCTCATTACTTTGGGCACTGTGATAACTAATATTTTTATTTTTATTGTATTTTATTTGTCTGGGACCAGGACTTGAACTTAGTATCTGATGCTTTTACTCCTTGGCTGTTGCTCTACCACCTGAGCCATAACTCCAACCCCATAACAAATACTTTAACATTGAACTTCTTTGCTCTCAATATGTAGTGTCAAAGTTTATATGTTGAGCTCATACATGTAAAAACCTCAGGTGGAAATTCTCGTGATAATTTATCTCCAGATTGTGCTACTTACCAATGTAACACTGTCTTGCTGACAAGCCTTATTGTTTATGAAAAATGATTTCTTCTTCCTGATCTATTTTTTCAGTCATAGAGCTTGAATCCAGGGCCTGGGTGCTGTCCCTGAGCTCTTTTGCTCAAGGCAAGCTCTCTACCACCTTGAGCCACAGCACCACTTCTGGTTTTCTGGTGGTTTATTGGAGATCAGAGTGTCACAGACTTTCCTGCCAGGGCTGGCTTTGAACTGTGATCTGAGGATACTCAGATATCAGCCTCCTGAGTAGCTAGGGTGATGGGTGGGAGCCACTGGTGACCAGTTCCTTCCTGATTTTTTTTCCACATGATTTCTTGGCTCCTTTGGATTCTTTTCTGCAGGCTGGAATTGAATCAGAGGAATGGTAGTGACAACAACTTTAAAGAAAACGCTGCAATGTTGTACCATTGAAGCCGGCATTCCCTGTGGGCTTTGAACAGATCCAGGAAAGAATTCCCTATGGTTCTCAGTAACGCCCAAGTTTTGTTTGTATCATGTTTCTCTGTGCTGGGTGCCGGTTGCCCACATCTGTAATCCTAGCTATTCAAGAGGCTGAGAACTGAGGATAGAGGTTCAAAGCCAGCCAGGGCAGGAAAGTCCTTGAGACTCTTATCTCCAATGAGCCATGAAGATCTCGGAATGGAGCTGTGGCTCAAGTGGGAGAGTGCTAGACTTGAATGGGAAAGCTCAGGGACAGTGTCCAGGCCTGGGTTTGAGCCCCAGGACTGGCGCACACGCACACACACACACACACACACACACACACACACACTACAGTTCCTGATGTCCCAGTGCTGGCCATCGTGCATGCCCTAGAGACCACAGTCTCAGCTCCATGCAGCGAGACAGGGCTTGTGGTTCAGTCTAGGGCACAGAGTGGAAAGGACAGTGAGGTGGCCACTTCTGAACCCTCTCCCCGCGGGCCAGCCCTGTCCTCCCCTCCGGACCCCTCCCCAAAACCCCACAGGCTCCGCCCTGCTGGGACGCAGCCACACCACCTTCACCAGGCCCGGACCTCAGCACTGTGAGGAGCCAACCTCTGTTCTTTATAAACTACCCAGCCTCTGGCACTCTGTTACAGCTGTGGGACGGAGACACCACAGCCCAGGAGCTAGAGATGCTGGGGTGCTGGGGGCTGTCTGAGAGACACACACACACACGCGCTCCTTGTCTCTGAGACTCAACCTGTCTGAGGATTTCGGTGAGGGCAGCTTCACCTGTGCCCACGCACGCTGCCAGGCCACCGCTGGCTTTGTAAGCCGCTGGCTTCTAGCTGCCCTCATGCCAGGAGTGAGGGGACTGGTGTCTGTCAACCACTGTGGCCGGGACCGTGCCTTCCTTAGCCCTCCTGTCCCTTCTCATTTATTTCTCTATGCTACTGGGGCTTGAACTGGACACTGTCCCTTTGCTATTTTGCTCAAAGCTGGCACTCTACTACCTGGGCCACAGCTCCACTGCTGGCATTTTGGTGGTTAATTGGGAAATAAGAGTCTCATGGACTTTCCTGCCCGGGCTGGCTTCAACTAGCGATCCTAGGATCTCAGCTTCCTCAGTAGCTGGGATTACAGGCGTGAGCTACTGGCACTCAGCTGCGTCCATTTATATGCATCAAGGCTTTACTAGTTTCATTCTTTTTTTTGGGGGGGGGTCCGGTCGTGGGGCCTGAACTCTGGGCCTGGGCGCTGTCCCTCAGCTCTTCAGCTCAAGGCTAGCGCTCTACCACTTGAGCCACAGCGCCACTTCCGGCTTTTTTCTTTTTGCTTATGTGGTGCTGAGGAATGGAACCCAGGGCCTCAGGCATGCAAGGCAAGCGCTCTACCACTGAGCCACCTTCCCAGCCCCTTACTAGTTTCATTCTATGAACTGGCCATACTGTCTCTTTTTCTAGTTTTAGAGGAATTTGAGTATTATTGAATCTCCTCTTCCTTGCTAGTTTATAAAGTTTGCAGAGGCATCTGAGCCTGGCTTTGGAATTATGCGAAAGAAAGATGGGGTCGATTTAAAGCCCTTAACTCGATTTCTTTAACTTATTCAGGACTATCTGGAATTTCTATTAATTCTTGATTCATCCCTTACATATTTTTCTAGAATGTTGTCTCTTCTTGGGCTTCCAAATTCATTGGCCTAAAGGTATTTGTGGCATTGTTTATCTGCTTTTATTTTACTTAATCATTTGCTTATTATTTTTGTGGTGGTTCCGGGGTTTGAACTCAGTACCTAGAGTTTACTAGGCAGGTGCCCTACCACTTGAACCACTCCCTCAGCCTTTCTCCCTTGGGATAATAGCTAGCAATAAGAAGAAGAAATAACAGCATGAAAACATTTTTAAAGAAAAACTTTGGGGTGTAGATGCCATCAGCCCCCCTATCTCTGGCAGGTCCCCTGGAGTCAAGTCTGGGAATTATGAGTCAAGACCTACTCTGGCCAGGAGCTAGTGGCTCACACCTGTCATCCTAGCTACTCAGGAGGCTGAGATCTGAAGATGGAGGTTCAAAGCCAGCCTGGGCAGGAAAGTCCATGAGACTCTTATCTCCAATAAACCACCAGAAAACCGGAAGTGGCGCTGTGGCTCAAGTGGTAGAGCGCTCGCCTCGAGCTGAAGAGCTGAGGGACGGCGCCCAGGCTCAGTGGAGACAGGTGACAGAGCCGGTGGCTGGACACCCCTCCCCCCCCAGCACCTGGCCACACCCCACAGGATGCAGGGAGGGGACTTTCTCCCAGGAGATCCCCAATGACCACGGTTGCCCCTCCCCACCAGGGGCTTTCCTGGCCACACCGGCCTCCATCTGTGCCTGGATCAGGTCTGCACCCCAACTCGCCCAGCCGTGGGTCCCCAGGTCCCAGGGCCCCTGGGCCGGCTCTGCTGCCACCTGCCCTCGGCTGTCTCCCCTCCCCCGCCCCCAGGCCTGCCGCTCAGGGTCCCACTGACTCCAAGGTCACCTTCAAGGTCATGCCAGGCAGCGTCTTTTGTCCTTCTGGGCAGGAGCTGGCTGGCTTCTGTCCCTGGTGTTCCTAGAAGTTTGGTCCCCACTCTGGATAAAGAGCTTTGTCAGTGCCCCCACGGGCCACGGCAGGCGCGGCGCAGCCCCTGTTCATGAAGGAGGTGTCTGGTCTTTGGTGACTCCAGCCACCAGGCCACGCTCACCGTGCACCTGGAGTCTGAAGGTGGGGCGCTGGGTGACAGGTGACAGGTGGCACCCCCGGGGCTCTCCCAATACCCGCCACAGCGCCTCAGCAAGCTCCACAATCTCTGCCACGTGCTGTGTGTGCGTGCGTGCGAGTGTGTGTGCGTGTGCGTGCGTGCATGTGAGTATGTGTGCGTGCGAGTGTGTGTGCGTGTGCGTGCGTGCGAGTGTGTGCGTGCATGCAAGTGTGTGTGCATGCATGTGAGTATGTGTGTGCACGTGTGTGCGTGCATGCGAGTGTGTGTGCATGCATGTGAGTATGTGTGTGCGTGCGAGTGTGTGTGTGTGAGTGTGTGCGCGTGCGAGTGTGTGTGCATGCGTGCGTGTGTGTGTGCGTGCGAATGTGTGTGTGTGTGCGTGCGAATGTGTGTGTGTGTGCGTGCATGTGAGTGTGTGGGGAGTGGGTGTGTGCGTGCATGTGAGTGTGAGTGTGTGTGTGTGTGTGTGTGTGTGTGTGTGTGTGTGTGTGTGGCCGGTATTAAGACTTGAGCTCAAGGCCTCACATTCTCACTGTTTTTTTTTTCTACACACAGTTGGCATCCTACCACTTGAGCCACACCTCCAGTCTGGCTTTCGTTTCTTTTGCTGGTTAATGGGAAATAAGAGTCTCAAGGTCTTTCCTGCCGAGGCTGGTCTCAAACCTCCATCCTCCAGATCCCAGCCTCCCAAGTAGCTGAGATTACAGGCGTGAGTTATGTGCGTCTGGCTGCTCACTGGTTATTTCTTTGATGCTTCAGAGGCAAAGTGCACTACAGGACAGCTGTAATTTGCCTGTGAGCGAGCGGATTTCCAAAGGGTTAAAGCAAGGCTTCTTTCTCCTAAGCTGCGGTCTCATACATACTGGGTGTCCATTTCCTTATTAGATGTCAATCTTTCCCACTGATTTGCCTATCAGGGAAATGAGCTCTGGTCTGGGAAAACCCAGTTGGCTTCTGGACTTTCATTCTGGTGGCAGGAGCCCTCAGTTTTCTTTCCTCTGGTGGCTGTGGGGTTTGGGGAAATCAGCTCTCAGGATTGCCCCATTCTGTACTTGTGTCTTATGAACATCTGCCCTTGCTGCTCCTCATGGCATTGTGCTCCGAGTCACCCCCTCACCTCCTGACACGTCATCCTGGAGTACCACGTCAGCCGGGACCCACGCTCTGGGGCCCAGGAGGAGACCGAGCGCAGGCCAGGCGCAGCCGGGACCCACGCTCTGGGTGCCCAGGAGGAGACCGAGCGCAGGCTGGGCGCCCGGCGAGCACCGCCTTCCCGGGAGGCGAGCTGCCCTTGTCCCTTCAAGCATGAAGCCTGAAGTCAGGTCTGGATGAACCGGCCTGGGTTCTGGGTCCTTCGCCTCCCTGCCCAGCACCCGGGTCCCCTGGGGCCCTCAGACCACCTTCCTTTCCTTGCTGGGGCTTGAACCTGACCTTGTGCTGGATAGTCAGGCACGCCACAGCTGAGCCCCCCCGTCTTTTCTTCATCCTTCCATCTTCCCTCCCTCCCTTCACTTTTTCTCCTTCCTTCCCTTTCTCTCTCTCTCTTTCTTTTTACTTTTCCTCTCTTCGTGTGTGTATTCCAGTATTAAGACTTGACCTCTGAGACTGGCCATTGTCCCTGAGCTTTTCTCTCAAGGCTGGTGCTCTACCCCTTGAACCACAGCTCCACTTCTGGCTTTTTGTGTTAATTGGAAGCTGACAGATTTTTTTTTCTGCCTGGGCTGGCTTTGAACTGTGATCCTCAGATCTCAGCTTCCTGCGTAGCTAGGATGACAGGTGTGAGCCACTGGTGCCCGGCCTCCCTCCTTCCCTCCCCACCCCCACCTCCTCCTGCCTGTGCCTGGTGAGTGCTGGCATCCCAGGCTTCTAGAACCCTCCTTCTCCTAGTGCCCACCTGGAGGCGGGGCTTGGGAGCCCCTCCTCTTCCTGGGGAGGCGAAGCTGGGGCTCTGGCCTGAACCAGCTTCTGTCTGCCCTGTGCCCCAGGGAAGCCCCAGGCCTAGGGCAGAGGCCCCAGCCCGGCCTGCTGCTCGTGTTAAGGCAGCAGACTGCTGTGTGGGGACGGGAGAGCTTAGGGCTCCTCCTGTCCATCCAGCCGCCCCTTTCCCCCAGCCACACACCCTTCCCCTTCCCCCCTTCCTGTTCTCGGGGAGGGGACAGGGAGCGGTGAAGGATCGGTACTCAGTGCGGTGGCTGGCTACGTGGCCCGTTCCTCATTCTGCACACGTCTCCCAGCCTCTTCCTGCTCTGCTTCCCCTGGGGAATGGCCGTCGTCCCCCCGCCCTCCCCCCCTCTTGGAAGAGAAGGGAGCAGAGCCACCCCCGCCCCCTTCCAGCCGGGAGACAGCCAGCGAGCAGGCTGGCAATAAATCTAATGATCATGCAGGTGGCTGGACAGGCCAGGGACGTGTGGAGGGAGAGAGTGGGGCCCAGCCTGAGCCTGCCCGGGGGCTCGGAGAGTGCTGTCTGGGGAACGGCCGCGGGCGGGAAGGGGCACGCGCGCCCCCAGGGCCACCAAGGAGCCCGTGCGCAGACTGCAGAGCGGCCAGACGCCAGACCGCTAATGTCATCTTGGATTTATTACTCTGGGGCGTGATGGGAACCCCGGAGCGCCCCCTGGCAGCCGAGGGGGGGCTAGGCCCGGATGATGGGGGACCTGGGGGGGGGGGGACAGGTTTGAGGCAGACATCACCCAACGCGGCCATGTGGAATTCTACTTCAGAGGATCAGGATTCGACGGCACGGTAAAAAAAAAAAAAAAAAGGAAAAGTGGTGTCAGGCTCCCTCCTAGGAGAGCCCCCCTCCGCCCCACCCCCTGAGGCCCTCTACGTGTGGACCTCCATCACACGGGGCTCCTGGGCACCCCAGCCCAGCCCAGGCCTCCCCACACTCTACCACTTTGAGCCCCAGCGCCACTTCCGGTTGTCTGGTGGTTCCTTAAGAGATCAGAGTCTCATGGACTTTCCTGCCCGGGCTGGCTTTGAACCGCGATCCTCAGATCTCAACCTCCTGAGTAGCTAGGATGACAGGTGTGAGCCACCAGCGCCCGGCTTCAAGCTGTGTCTGTCCCTCTGTGGTTCAGCTGGTCAGGTTCTGCTCCCCAAGATCACACCTCCTCCATCACCCACATCACCCCGAGACAAGCCAGGGATGACCACTAGCCACGAGAGCCAGGGAGGGAGGCCGGCAATGGAGCTGGACAGGGAAGACAGAGCTGGAGCTGCGTGCCCTCCCGCGCCCAGTCCCCAGATCCCCCAGTCAAGGCGCTGCGGGGAGGCGGGGGTCCATTCCCCGCAGGCCATCCCAGAGGCTACCACAGGGGGGCGCCCGCGGGCTGGCTGTGCCATCAGAGGAACCAGACGGGCCAGAGGGAAGCGGGGCTGAGAAGGCCCAGGCTGATTGGCCGCTGCTGGCCCGGCCTGGCCACAGGCCAGGTGCCAGGCTGAGCAGCTGGAGGGCACGGCCTGCCTTGAACACGCACACTCAGGCCCTGAGGTCCAGCCCGCCCCACCCCATGCTGGTTCTCCTTGTGACGCCATCCTCCCCCCCCCCCGCCCAACACGCACACACACAGACACACACAGATACACACACACAGACACACACACACACTTTACCCAAGACTGCTGCAGGAAACAAAGCCAAATAAACCTCCAGTCCCGAGACCCCTGATCTGTCATCATCTGGTCGCTTCCCAGGACATGGAAGTGTGGGCCTGGGTTTGCTATGTAAGGTACAGGGAGCCGGGGCTGGTGGCTCGCGCCTGTCATCCCAGCTACTCAGGAGGCTGAGATGTGAGGATCACCATTCAAAGCCAGCCCCGGCAGGAAAAGTCTGTGAGACTCTTATCTCCAAAGTGGCACTGTGGCTCAAGTGGTAGAGCACTAGCCTTGAACTGCAGAGCTCAAGCCCCATGACTGACAAAAATTAATTAATTTTAAAAAGCTGAGCTTCACATTTGCCTGAGCTTCCTGGCAGCTGGAAGGAAAAGGGAAACAGCAAGTTCCTCCGTCCTCCTTACTGGGAAAGGAGAAGTAAGCAGGGCTTCCAGGTGTGAGCCACCAGCAGCAGCTCCATAGTCTTGTCTTGCAGTGACGCAGGAAACTCATGCGGTGGTCAGGGCGCAGCGTGGCACGCGCGGCCTGCTTTACCATGGGGTTAGCTCCAGGATGTTTCCCCCACAACCAAGGGAGTCGAGGGTCCAAATCCCTAGTGTCCTGGGCCGGGCACCCCCAGGTCTGGCTTCTGCCTGAGCCATCTGCAGTGGGGCCAGGCATGCCTGCACACAAGCCTCCAATGTGTCTCCAGTGAAAAGACAGCGCAGGCTGTGACATGTATGGGTGAGTTCCCGCTGCATAACAAAACACCCCACGCTTTCCATCTCAGACAATGAAGCGGAGAGGGCCTGCAGGCGCCCAGCACAGACATGATCCTGGATCTGTAGTCACCGGGAAGTGACACTGTCCCTTGCTGGGGCCATTCCCCTGGGCTCCATGCGCAGCCTGGGCATGGAGCCCAGTTCCTCTGGCAGTTGTGTCTGTAGCTAGGTTTTGCATCTCCCCCTCTGCCCTCTCCCTTGTTTCATTCATTCATTCATTCATTCATTCAACACTCAAATGCTTTCTCTCCCCACAGTTTATGGGAATACAAATGAATAAATGGAAGCCGGCCGTGGTCACCCAAAGCACAAGCATCTATTTTCTAGATAATTCTTTTACCATCTCCCCTTCCCCTAAAGGATTTGAATCAGCCTGGCGGGAAAGGCACAAGCGATGAATTTACGAATGTCAACCAAAGAAGAAAAGTAAAGCCAAAAGGGGCAAAGTGCTTCTTGAGCAGCTGTCATGGCCCCGCCCATCTCACACGTATCCCTCAGGTGAGGATTCTCTCTCTCCTCCCAAAGGCAGGAAAAGCAAAGCTCACTGCGCCTGCGCAGGTAAGAGACCAGCCCGAGTTCACCCAGGTCCATACGTAGATGAACTTCTAATGTGATGGTGAGTTTCCCAGCAGCCTCAGGGAAAAGGGAAAGCAGAAATGCTATCCAATTACTCACTAGACCGGAAGCAGCTAGACGTGTCTTTGGGGGAAGCGTTTTGCCACTTGTCTTTTTCTTAAGGGGGAGCTGCTGAAAGCTGGGGGGGCAGGGACGGGGGGGAGTAAGGAGATTGCTGGGTGTTTGCTGCTGCTCCTGGAGGGGAGAGGGGTCTGTCATCAGGGCCGGCTCCCCGGGCGGTGCGTGTGTGCCCCCCTTCCCCCGGCCGCTACTCCCTGCTGGCCCCCCAGGCCCGGACCCCCACCATCGCCTGGATCTCTGCCCACTTGAGGAAGTGATGCTGTGCCCGGGCTGCGCAGACG